TTGTAACCAACCTACAAAACACCCTCCGACGGCTACGCACCGACAACATCTAATGACTTGAAGACATCTAATGTGTCTAAGTTTAAGTCAACTAAAGAATATTTGTGTGGCAATAAAAGCCAACCCCCTCCCCAACCCCCAAGTCCAGTGGTGTTAATTAAAGGCTACGAGCCGACGTTCTCACCCACCCCAGGACTGACTGAACGGGCATACCACTTCATTGACACACGTAATGCTCACCCAATTAGAGCCCCAACATACCAGGTGTCTCCTCAAGCTAAAACTGCTGTAGAACGGGAGATCCAGGATAGGCTACAGATGGGTGTAATCCGCCCCTCTGGCAGTGCATGGGCATCTTCAGTGGTTCTAGTTCCCAAACCAGATGGGGAGATACGTTTTTGCGTAGACTACTGTAAGCAAAATGCTGTAACACACCCACACAACTATCCAATGCCACGCACAGATGAACTATTAGAGAAACTGGGACGGGCCCAGTTCATCTCGACCTTGGACTTAACCAAGGGGTACTGGCAGGTACCGCTAGATGAATCCGCCAAGGAAAGGTCGGCCTTCATCACACAGGTCAGGCTGTATGAATTTAATGTGCTCCCTTTCGGGCTGCGGAATGCACCTGCCACCTTCCAAAAACTTGTAAATGGTCTCCTAGCAGGATTGGGAGAATATGCAGTCACTTACCTTAACGATGTGGCCATATTTTCAGCTTCCTCGGCAGAACACCTGGAGCATCTACGAAAAGTCTTCGAGCGCATAAGGGAGGCAGGACTAACAGTGAAGGCTAAGAAGTGTCAAATAGGTCTAAACAGAGTGACTTACCTTGGACACCAGGTTGGTCAAGGAACTATCAACCCCCTACAGGCCAAAGTGGATGCTATCCAAAAGTGGCCTGGCCCAAAGTCAAAGAAACAGGTCCAATCCTTCTTAGGCTTGGCCGGATATTACAGGCGATTTGTACCGCAATACAGCCAAATCGCCACCCCACTGACAGACCTAACCAAAAAGAAACAGCCAAATGCTGTTCAGGGGACCGAAAAGTGTCAGAAGGCCTTTAACCAGCTTAAAGCAACACTCATGTCTGACCCTGTGATAAGGGCCCCAGACTTTGACAAACCGTTCCTAGTAACCACAGATGTGTCCGAGTGTGGTGTGGGAGCAGTCTTAATGCAGGCAGGATCAGATCAAGCATTCCATCCTGTCGTGTTTCTCAGCAAGAAGCTATCTGAGAGGGAAAGCCACTGGTCAATCAGTGAAAAGGAATGTTACGCCATTGTCTACGCTCTGGAAAAGCTACACCCATATGTTTGGGGACAGCGTTTCCACCTGCAAACCGACCATGCTGTGCTACAGTGGCTTCATACCGCCAAGGGAAATAACAGACTTATTTGGTGGAGTTTAGCTCTCCAAGATTTTGACATCCAACACATCTCAGGAGCTTCTAACCAAGTGGCTGATGCACTCTCCCGTGAAAGTTTCCCGGAATCAACTGACGTCCAAATCATCCTTGAGATGTGGGAAATATTGTTAGTCTTTATACAGTTAGAAGTATATTTAGAGATGCATGTGTCTTATTAATTCTGTTTTCTCCTAGAGCTCCAGGAAGAAATCACAGCCAGTGTTTCACCCTATCTGCGATTTGTGGGGCGTGTCATAAATATAAAGGGAAGGGTAACCACCTTTCTGTATACAGTGCTATAAAACCCCTCCTGGCCAGAGGCAAAACCCTTTCACCCGTAAAGGGTTAAGAAGCTAAGGTAACCTTGCTGGCACCTGACCCAGAATGACCAATGAGGGGACAAGATACTTTCAAATCTGGAGGGGGGAAAAAGGCTTTTGGCCGTCTGTGTGATACCTTTGCCAGGAACAGATCAAGGATGCAAGCCTTTCAACTCTTGTAAAGTAAGTAAGTAATCTGTCTAGACAATGCGTTAGGTTTTCTGTGTTTTGGCTTGTAAATTCGCTGTGTTGGAAGAAATGTGTATTCCTGTTTTTGTGTCTTTTTGTAACTTAAGGTTTTGCCTAGAGGGATTCTCTGTTTTGAATCTGATTACCCTGTAAGATTATTTTCCATTCTGATCTTACAGAGTTGTTCTCTCTTTTTCTTTGTTCTTCTAATAAAGTTCTGATTTTTAAGACCCAAAAAACACAATCAGATTCTTAAAAATCCAAGCCTGGTTTGTGCTCATCTTGTTTATTCTCAAGCCTCCCCAGGAAAGGGGGTGTCAGGGCTTGGGGGGATATTTCAGGGAAATAGGAACTCCAAGTGGTCCTTCCCTGTTCTTTGTCTAAATCACTTGGTGGTGGAGGCATACTGTTCAAGGACAAGGCAAAGTTTGTTCCTTGGGAAGGTTTTTCACTTAATCTGGTAAAAATAAGTTTAGGGAGTCCTTCATGCAGGTCCTCACATCTGTACCCCAGAGTTCAGAGTGGGGAAGGAACCCTGACAGGGCCCTTGCAGAGCTAAGGCCAGGGTTCCCAGGTGCCGGGGGAGCCTCTCCCTGGCTCACAAAACCCAGGGTGCTCAGAGTCAGTGCCCAGGGAAATCAGCAGTGGAGTTCTGTGCCCACCTGGGATTGGCTGCACCCAGCTCCCCCGTCAGGCTCAGCTCGTCCCCCGACTCCCCCCGTGCAGCAGGTGTCCTGGTGTCTGCCTGGCCCCCAAGGGGCTGGGTGTGTCACTGCAGATGGCGCTGCCATGGTGGGTATCGGGCACTGGACAGGCTGGGGAATCCCTGGCGCCAGGGGTTAATTGGGGGCTGAGTTGAGGGCTCAGGCTCATGTAAGCAAGAAGGCAGATTAATTACATTATGGGCAAGCAGCGCTGGCAAAGCTGAGCCTAAATCCAGGCAAAGCCCTTAATACCCTTTAAGGGGACATCACGCTGCAGCACAAATCCCTGACTTCCTTCCATGCCCAGGCCATGCTCCCGCCCGGGGAGAGGGGAACGGGTCTGGCTGGCTTTCCCTACCTCCTGGCCATGCTCCAGCACCCTCACTGGGACATGGCTCCTGCATCACCCCAGGGTGATGAACTTCACGCCCTAATGGGGCTTAGCTCGGACTGGGAGCCAGGCTGCAGTCCCAGCTCCTGGCAGCCCTGCCTGGGTGGATGGCGGGGAAATAGTCCAGTGGCCAGGGCGCCGGCCAATGCTGGGTTCCTGCCGTTTGCAGGGTCAGGGAATTAAGACTCCACAGACAGCCTTAACTCAGCCCTGGCACCTGCCCAACCTGGAGCCACGTGACCCCAGAGTGGGCAACCAACCCACCAGCCCTTGTGCTGAGCTGAGCTCTAAGCCCCAAGCCCCTTCCCCACTATCCCCCCACCCTGCTTTAGCTGGCCCCACCCCAGACTGGCTAGAGCCAGAGATTCTCCCCCCAGCTCACAACATCCTGCCCAAGGCAGCCAGAAACTCCAGACTAGGATGCCGACTCGGTCCCCTACAGCACCGCTCCTCTTGGCCCCCATGGACCAGAGCCTGCGGGCCAGGGCCAGGGGCTCCAGCAAGTCTGTGTCAGCTGGAGTGATGGGGCTGGAGCGGAGATCCTCTCCTGGGGTTACCGGGGGTTCTTGTTCTGTAGGCCCATGTGGGAGAGACAGGGCAGGCAGTGACCCAGCCTCCTCCCCAAATACCCTGTCTCAGATCTCAGCTGAGCTCCAGGGGGTAGGCAGGTCCCTGACCCAGCATCAGACTGCCAGGGGTTAACACCCCTCCAGCAGCTGCAGCCTGGCACCAGTGAACAGGAGGGCCCAGGGTGAGAGGAAGAGGCAGCCATGTGGCAGAGAGAGAGCCTGGCCATGACCACCTGGCACTGCCTCTGGGCTCCAGGCATGGGCGTTTAGCAGCAGCACTTCCAAATTTTCCTGCGAGAGGGTCGCTGGCTCCTGTGGGGGGAGGCGCATGTGCTGTGGCGGGGGGCTCGCTACCCCTGCCAGGGCCTCAGACTTGGTGCCTTTCCTTTTGGCAGGGGAAATAATCGTAGCAGGGCTCAACCCCTCAGGGCCCAGCTCTTCCCAGAATGCTGTCATTGCTTCCCACCAGGACCCCAGCCGCTGCCAGCATGGGGGGTGGGAAGGGGGCGCTGGACTTCTGGCTTCATGGACCCACCTGCAGCGAGCAGCCCTCTCCCGTTCGAGGATTGTGGCTCCAGGAACTGCCCTGCTGCCTCCCAGAGCCATTTGGATGGGCCAATGCAGGCCCTTTGCACCTGGCATTAGAGCATGCCAGAGTTGGGGGCAGGAGCTGAAAGGCCAGGGGCAGCCACGCTCTGGGATGTGCTTCCCTGGGGCATTGAAACCTGCTGGGACCTGATTAACTGCACCCCAAGAACTTCTCTCCACCTGGCTTAGAGATGTCCTGGGAGCTGGGCCACCCCACAGCTGCTGTCTCCAGGAGCCTCAGGGTAGGTGGTGCAGGTACAGTACCACCCCCTCCCTGCTCCCACCCCTGGGAAAGGGGAAGGCAGGGACCTTGGCCCTATCCTCCCCATGCCACGAACTTCCCCCAGCCCTGCAAACCCCCACGCCAGCTTCTTCTCCAGGCCCCAGTACCCCAAACAGGCTGAGCCACCAACAACGCTAGTATCAGTTTTAGCCGTCCAAAGCCAGGCCTACTCCCCCTTTTCCACCGCAGCTAAGCCTGGCGCATCGCCCCACTTCCAGCTAATCAGCAGGGGTCCCCTGCTCCTTCCACTTTCTAAATTGGGTCGCTTCTCCAGCAGGCCAACCCCAGCCCTGCACAAGGGAGCAGAGCTCCTGGCACCCAGCCCTGGGCACCGCTCCCACACAGACTCTTCCTAGGGTGGGACCATCTCATGCATTGGCCGCCTTCCCTGGACGCAGTCTCCCTAGGATGCAAGGGCCAGGCTGCCAAAGGTATTTAGGCCTTTAAAGGTTTTCAAAAGTTGCAGCATGTCGACTGCTCCGCCCAGGGCCAGGGAATCAGAGGCAAGTGGCAGCCACACACATCACTGCAGGAGAGACAGGGAGTGAAATGTAAAAGTGTCTTTTAATATAAATATAGATACATCTGAATGGGTCCAGCACAGAGAATAAAAGCACGGCCTTCAGAGACAGGCAGACCCAACACCCACATGGGCTTGGTCACTCTTCGCACGTGGGGATAGCTCAGTGGTTTGATCATTGGCCTGCTAAACCCAGGGTTGTGAGTTCAATCCTTGAGGGGGCCATTTAGGGATCTGGGACAAAAACTGGGGATTGGTTCTGCTAGATGACTTCACCCTTCCAACCCTGATAGTCTATGATTTCATCAGTCCCTGGTGACTTGAAGACATCTAATGTGTCTAAGTTTAAGTCAACTAAAGAATATTTGTGTGGCAGTAAAAGCCAACCCCTTCCCTGCCCCCCCAAGTCCAGTGGTGTTAATTAAAGGAAGGGCGGGTGCTCGGTGCCCTGGGGCAGCCAGCCTGAGGAGTCATGGGCTGAGCATGTTTCCAAAGATCCAGCTTGGGGACTGAGACAGGCCCAGGTGAAAAGCAACCCCATTGGGTGGTGTGGGGGGCACAGGAGAGCTGCCAGTGCAGGCAGGACCGAGGGAAGTGGGGCCAGGATCAGGCCGATCTCTGAGGGAGAGTAGTGTGCACAGGGCGATAGGGAGCTCAGTGATTGTGGTCCAGATCTCCCTGGAAACGCAGGACCCCGGGGGCTCCAGCCTCATTCGCCCCATGGGACACAATGCCCCTGGCCCCAAGCTGTGCCAGGGGAACCCGGCCTCTGAGTGCCCCATAGACCCCAGCTGGCTTGAAAGAGGCTGGAAACACCATGTGGGCAGCAGGCTCTGGTGCCCACAGCTCCTGGCGCAGGGGATTTACAGACTAACCCTGATCTCTCTCACAGAGCTGGTGCCCAGCCCTGCGAGAATCTGTGCCGGGTGCTGGCAGGTGGTGCCTGGCCACGGCTCCCTGGCTAGACGAAGGGCATCAGCAGTGATGTGAGCACCAGGAGCGGCAGGACGGCCAGCAGGCTGGGCCGGGGGAGCCAGGCTGAGCCCCGCAGGGTCTCCTTGTTAGTCTCGTCCCCAGCTGAGCCCCGCACGCTGCCAGGCGGCCTGGCCCGTGCACTGCACAGGTCATGCAGGTTCCCCTGGAACTGGATCTTCCTGGACTCCTGGCGCAGTGACTCCCAGATGGCAGCAGCTTCATCAGGGCAGCTGGACAAGACCCCGCTGGCGCAGGTGTGAAAGTCGTCCCAGGACCTGGGCCGAGGAGAGGGAAGAGTCAGAGACAAAGGCCAGAAGGGTCCATGGCGATCAGGCCTTGTGATCTGTGTGTTACACCAACTGACAGGCCCCCATGCCTATAGCCAGCCCAGCGCTGCTCTGTCCCACTCCAGCCCTGCCCCTAGCCAGCCCCACCCCACCTCTAGCCAGCCCAGCCCTGCCCAGCCCCTAGCCAGCCTTGCTTCGCCCCACCCTGCCCCTAGCCAGCCCTGCCTTGCCCATAACTAGCCCTGCTTCACTCCACCTCACCCCCAGCCAGCCCAGACCTACCCACAGCCAGCCCCACCCCTGCCCTGCCCCCAGCCAGCCTGGACCTACCCATGGCCAGCCCCACCCCTGCCCTGCCCCTAGCCAGCCCAGCTCCACCCATAGCCAATCCAGCCTTGACCCACTCTCCCCATAGCCAGCCTAGCCCTGTCCTGCCCCACCCATAGCCAGCCTGGCCCCACTGTTCGTGATGGTAACAGAGCATTTAGGCCTGTGTATTTGCCTGGAGATAGAATTTTGGGTTTGTCCGTTTGATTTTTAATATTCTTATACCCGTATGAACACGTAAACAAGGAACAAAGACACAGTGTTTTGCTTCTGCCCAGCCAGACGGGTTCGTTAGTATAATGAGAAAAGAAGAAATAGAGCTCACGTGATGCTGGGAATTTCTCAAGGACAAGGGCAAGCAGCCAGTTGGGAGGGATAAGGGGGATGCAGGGAGGGATAAGAAACCCTAAAAACCAGAGAAAAGGGGACCTTGGCCAGTGTACAACCTCCTTCCCTGCCCACCCAGGGGTGCAAAAGAGGTGGTACCGAAGCCCCCGGACTCAGAACCCTCCAAACCAGAACAGCGCCACAGATTGTAAGGGGTGGGACTGGGGTGAGCACTACAGGTATAACTAAGCCTACTAAGAAGGTGCTTGCGGGGCGGGGGAGGAGATAGGACAAATCTCTACTGGTGTACAGAACTGCGGCTATGCTCGTTTGTTCACCCTAACCAACATTGCATCGCCTGCGCTTCCCCCTCCAGCCTCCTGCTTTCCGTCTGTGTCACAGGAAGCAAGGGAGGGCAGGGAAGCCCTAACACCCACGCTGCCCATAACCAGCCAGGCCCTGCCCCACCCCTAGCCAGCCTGATCCCCCCCTCACCCTGCCCCTAGCCACTCCCTCCTTCCCTGCCCTGCCCCTAAGCAGCCTGATCCCCTACCACCACCCTGCCCCTAACTAGCTTAGTCCCCGCTGCCCTACCCCAAAGCCAGCCTGGCCAGCCCCTCCCTGCCTGGCATGGTTCCTTGGGCTAGCGCAGATCTTCTAGAACAGGGGTAGGCAAACTTTTTGGCCTCAGGGCCACATCTGGGTGGGGAAATTGTATGCAGGGCTAGGGTGTAAGAGGGAGTGCGGTGTGCAGGAAGGGGCTCAGGGCAAGGGATTGGGGCAGAGGAGGGGGCTCAGGGCAGGGGTGCAGGAAGAGTGCGGGGTGTGTCGGGGGGCTCAGGGCAAGGGGATGGGGCTCTGGCCTGGCACCACTTACCTAAAGCGGCTCCGGGGTGGCAGCAGCACGCACCAGGACCAGGACAGGCTCCCCGCCTGCCTGCCCTGGCCCCACGCCGCGCTGGGAAGTGGCCGGCACCACGTCCCTGCAGGGCCCCTGGGGCACGGGGGGCACAGACGGGATCCGCCCCCGCAGCCAGGCTGGGAACCTGCCCCCTTTTCCCCCTGGCTGGGCTCCTCGACCTGAGGTCCAAAGGGTTCTGCCGAGAGTTCTCCCCCCAGCCCCGCAGTGCTGTCCCCTCTGCCCCACAGCCGAAACCCCACTGTCTGGGGGGCAGCTGCTGGGAGACTGGGACCCTGCTACTTTCACCTGCAGATGGTGTCCAGTTCCTGCCTGTCCTGCTGCTGCTTCTGGACGCTCTGGGCCATGCTGTCCCCCAGGCTGATGAGGCATTCGGCAAAGCCCTTGTAGATAGCGTCACATCTCCGCCCAGCCGTGCTCACCGGATCCTCGGCCACAGCTGCACAGGGGACAAGAGTCACTGATAAGCCCCCTCCCCAGCTCTCAGCCCTCACTGGGCAGGTCTGCATCCTGGCCCCAGCTCCCCCAGACCCCACAATGGGGCTTCTCCCTGCCCCCGGGACGTTCACTGTTCCTGTCTGCCAGAGTGTTGTACGCGAGCCCCATTCCCAAGCCATGCCTGCACATACAGGGACTATCCAGCCACATGGGGGGCAGGGCAGAGCTATTGCCCCCAAGGGAAGAGGAGGGGGAAGGGTTGACCCCCTGGTTGAATCTTGGGCTTGTAGAAGGGACACTGCACTCTGTGCAATGCCCTCCTCGTGCCTGAGGTCCGCACACCTCCCACGATGGGGCCCACTCCAGACCCTCCTGTCCCACAAACCTGTGGGATGTTGCAGTTACTTCCACCCCAGAGGAGGCTGCAAAGCAGCAGTGGGAGAGCCCTCCACTGATCCCGAAGCAAAGCGCTTTGGACTGTGAGCTAGAAGGGGATCTCACTGAACTGGGCGACAAAACGACCGATGAAATTCAATGCTGATAAGTGCAAAGTCAGTCACACTGGAAAACATCATCCCAACTGTTCATACAGAATGACGGGGTCTAAATTAGCTGGTCCCACTCAAGGAACATCTTGGAGTCATGGTGGATGGTTCTCTGAAAACATCTGCTCAATGTGCAGCCACAGCCAAAAAAGCGAACAGAATGTTGGGCGCTCTTAGGAAAAGGACAGATCAGATAGAAAATACCATAATACCCCTGTATAATTCCATGGGATGCCCACACCTTGAATACTGCATGCAGATGTGGTCGCCCCATCTCAAAATAGATAGATTAGAATTGGAAAAGGTACAGAAAAGGGGTATGGAACAGCTTCCATACGAAGAGAGATTAATAAAACACTGAATTTTCATCTTGGAAAAGAGATGAAGGAGGGGATATGATAGAGGTCTATAAATTTATGACTGGTGTGGGCAGAATGAATAAGGAAGTGTTATTTACCCCCTCACACAAGACAAGAATCAGGGGTCACCCAATGAAATTAACAGGCAGCAGGTTTAAAACAAACAAAAGGAAGTATTTCATCACACAACACACAGTCAACCTGTGGAACTCCTTGCCAGGGGATGTTGTGAAGGCCAGAAGTATAACTGGGTTCAAAGAAGAATTAGCAAAGTTCATGGAAGACAGGTCCATCAATGGCTTTTAGCCAAGATGGTCAGGGACACAACCCCATGCTCTGGGTGCCCCTAGGCCTCTGACTGCCAGATGCTGGGAGGAGAAAGGGAGGCACCAAGACGCCCTGGAGACTGGCACTACTGTGTAGCCTCCATGCCCTGAGCAGGGGCAGCTTGCTGGGCAGGGGGCACTGTTCTGTGCCCTGCTGAGCAGCTCAGTCTGTGTCACGCTCTAGCCCTGGCATCTGCAGGAGCAGCTGGAGCTGCAGACAACACCCCACCCACCTGTAGCCATCTGTGTCTGGGGTTTGCATTCGCTCCCCAAGCCTCCTTCCTGGGCAACAAGCTGAGCCCAAAGCCATTGAGCTCAGGTGCGTCTCCCCATTCAGCTTCCCACGGCAAGGGGGGTCCTGGCATGGGCGAGGCACCACGCAGCAGGTGGCTGGAAAGTTTCCCTCAGTGCCCCAGTTGCTCTGGGCAACTGGGAGAGGGACACACAGCCATTAGTTGCCTTTACCCTGCGTGGTCCTTCCCAGCCCTACACCAGGGCCAGGGTGCTGACAGCAGCTGCAGTGGGCAAAGCGGTGCAAGCCGCCAGGAGTGGGCTCCCCTGTCCCACGCGCTGGAGACGGGTCCTGCAGGGAAAGCCCAGGCAGTAGCATCCCTCAGGCTAGAAACGGGGCTGGGATGAGCGAGATGGGAAATTCTTTGCCGCTGGGCACAGACCGACCCTGTGGCTTTGTCCCAGGCTGCCTAGCGTTGGCCTGAAGTGGTGGCTGGTTGTGGCTACACCCCAGGCTGCTGAGTGTTCAGCCAGGAGGCCCGGCCTGACGCCGTTTGACGGATCCTGGTGCCTCGTGCAAATCCAGTGCATTGTGGGAGTCCTGCAGCGCCCCTCCTGTGTGCCCAGCTGGGAGCCAGAATACCCGCCGCGAGGTGCTGGACCAGCTGAGCTCCTCCACGGACACAGGGAGGAGGCCAGCCCCCACATCCCTGTTGCGAGCAGCTCCTGGGACGCGCCTGGCAGGCTGTTGTGTGAGGCTGTGAAGTTCTGCCCAGGCACCAGCAGCCACAGCACCCTGGCAGGGCTGTTCCTCCCACAGGGAGGGGAGCGGGACAATCTCAGACCTACCTCGCTCTACAGGAATTCTTTATTAAAGCAACAAAGTTGGGTTAATGACAGACAAACCGGGGCAGAGGGCAACCCCGCCAGGACTCCCAGTGCCCAGCCCCACCGCCTCCTCTGCCACACAGTACCTTCCAGGATGCCTTATGGGATCTTGCAGGATAAGGCGGATTTAACCTTCGCCGTCAGCCAGACGGCAGAGCCTGGCACAGCATCGCCTTGCTGCTGCCGGAAGAGAGGGGTGCCATCTGACCACATGGGGCCCTCTCCTGGTGGTCCGTGGTGTGGCACCTGCCCTAACCCCCTGCATGCCCATTCCCCGCCTGGCTCACTGGCCCAGCAAATGCCACGCAGTGCCATCTTCCAAGGCACATGCCCACAGGCCACTCTCCAGCGCAGGTATAGGGGAGACTGGGATAACTGCCCTTGCTGGTACAGACACTGCCATGGTCTATGGCAAATCCCCTGCCTGTGCGACCAGCTGAGCAAGACGGAGGTTACTGCTCCCAGTCTTGGCCCCCATTGCAGGTGTGCCCACCAAGGGGCACAGGCTGAGCAATCCCAGGCCTCACACACCCACTAGTGCCAAGGGACACTGGCAATGCCACTCCCTGGGGACAGGGCAGTACCCCACGCCCTCCATCCCCAGGATCCCTGAGGCTCAGCAAGATGGTTGAGATCAACTCAGGAGGAGAAAGCAACAGAACTAAATCGGCGGCACGTGGGTAACCAGTGATGGCGGGGGAGGCGAGGGGTGTGAGAACAGCCTAGGAACATCTGGGTGGGCACCACACGGAGGAGAGGGATTCGTTGGGGTGCTATGGGGGTGAGGCTGAAACAAGCAAAGGAAAACTTAGGCTGTCAGGGAGCAGTTCCTTGCAGGAGGAGATTTGCTGGGCTGGGAGACAGTCTCCCCAGGACAGGGCACACCCTGGAGACACTGTGCTGCAAGGAGCTGCCCGAGGAGTGGAGCAGACATCTGTTCTCGCTTTTCCCTGCTCGAGTTTCTAGCATTTTATATACAAAGGCCATTTCTGTCCAAAGCTCATATCCCGTGACTCCAGCTACTACTCCCCTAGGGCAGAGCCCCGCGTGGGACTGGTTTCAATCCTGCCCTGCAATACCCACCCACTCCTGTGTTGGGTCTTGCATTTTTATCCCGCTCCCACCGGCGAAAACCAACGCTCCCCCCAATCCCGCAAGAGAGACAGATTCTCCCATGCTGCTAAAAACACAACAGCCAGTTCATATAGTAGCAATATAAACGGAATTCAGACCATTTTTACCACTAACCAAATAAACCAATTTTGCCTAAACCATGTACAAAAATACTTTAACTCCTGTTATAACAGGCATCAGAGCTCTTTCTAGCCCTTGCTTAAATTATAAGTATTAAAATCTTTATTAAAAAAAAGAAAAAAGCTTGCTTTGCGTTGCTGAAGTTGGCTGTCAAATGGCTGTCGTGTGTATATCCCATGGAATATAAACGAATTGCAGTACAACTTTGCCTTAAAAGGTGCAGATTTTTGTTAATGATTATAAAAATTAAGTTGTTTTTAAAAAAAAATTGGGAATTTTTAAACTGCTGTGATGTTCCCCAGGATACAGTCTGGACTGATGGACAGTTGAGTCCCCTCAATTCCCCAACCTGGGGTGCCTTTTACCCTACTTTGCTGAGAGCAATCGCTCCTGGTCTGCTCACAGGCAGCCTCCAGCATGTAAATCACTCCCAGCTATACTGTACGAGTGCTGTAGCCAACCCACTCTTGAATTACATGGCAGGGCAACACTAGCAAAATCCCAGTCCCAGACTTTCCCCCAACCATGTGCATCCCGTACTGCCCAGCACCCTCCTAGACAATACAAGCTCATAGAAGTCCACCATTTCACTAATAGAAAATTATATGCATAAACCTTATCTCGAGTTTCATAAACACTTGAATCCAAACACACACCAGTTTAGATAAGACAATAAAACACAGATAGATGTTAAGTGATTACAAGTAAAGAAAATAAAAAGATAAAACACATCTAATACCCAACTTTACAAGCTAAATGAATTCAAAGCAAAGGTTTCTCTCACCACATGCTCTAGCAGTCTTACTGGTTGGAAACCTTTCAGCCAGGACCCCTCCCCCAGTTCAGTGTTAATTTTCTTGTCCTTCAGGTGTTGTTGACATCACAAGCAGCAAGAAAGGGAGGAGCATTTTGGGGCATCTGTTCCCTTTTTATAGCTCTCTTTTTGAGAATCTCTCCAGCTGAGGTTCCGGAGACAGAAGGTCTGAGGGGGATGAGAACCTCCAGCTTTTTCTTTGCCCACATGTAAATTTCTCACTCTCGCCCTTTTTTCTGCCAAAGAATGGTCACTTAACCAGACAATACTCCATTTTTGATTTTGTGGATACCTGGCTGAGCTGTCAGTTTGCCTTTGAGGCACTGGTTTATGCCTGCTTTTCTAAACTTGGATCATGTCTCAGTAACGTCATACAGTAGAGTCTTATAACTATATGTTGCCACATATTTTACCAGGACAATAACGATCAGGAAATTATGAGTTTTCAAATGATCTCACTTTGGACTTTGTACAAAATCCGTTACAGTTTTGTAAAAAGGGGTAAGCGTAGGGATACAGACTGTCACAACCACTTAAGCACCGTTTCTGGAACTTTGAAATATACCATTCGAGTCATTTGTGTG